AGTTTTAAATTGTAATAGTTTCATAATATTACAGTTTTTACTACATTTTGATCACAGAAATAAATTAGATTTTAAAATGTATTCAGATTGAAAACAGTTGTTTTAAATTGTAACAATATTCCACAATATGATAATTTTACTGCATTTTATCACACAATAAATTACATTTTAAAATATATTAAAAAGAAAAAAAAAGTTATTTTAAATTGTAATATTTTACAATATGAAACTTTCACTCTATTGTGATCACATGAAAAAATACATTTTGAAATGTAAAAAAAGGTGTTTTAAAATGTAATACGATGTCACAATGTAACATTTTTTACTGTATTTTTGACCAAATTATATTTTTGTTTTCCAAAAACATTAAAAACCATAACTTTTGAATGGTACTGTATCCCTAAGAAACTAGGAATTACGAGTTTCTGGTTTAAAACCTGACTAATTTTACAGAGCTTCCTTAGAATCAAATAGTGAGTGATGATTAGTGAGAAATTGTTAAGATTATGTAAGAAAAAACAGGTTACAGGTAGTTATTCGGTGTCCGTTTACGGGCCCAAGTCAAAAAAACGCAGACCTCTATTATATGGCTTGATGGTTTTTTCCCTCGTTTTGGTATCAACGGACAAGAAAACTGTCTGTCCACTCACATAGTTACGTTTTAGCACACCTCTCTCTAACAATCTGCCTCAAGCAAACACCACTAAATGATGCAGTTTACCGCATTTCTAAGGTTAAAATCAACCGCAAGCAAGCCTGGGGTCTATTCAGCCGCCCAGAGCATGTTTAAGCAGCATCAAAATTTATTCAAAAGAGTTCAGAAAATCGAAACATATCACGGGACGTTTGTTTTGAAGGTGTCTGGGATCTAAATGGACAAGCCCGAAGGTTTCTGCTTGACCATGCCAGGCCTGTCAGTTCTTCAGGCTTAAAGTTCACATTGAGGATGCAGACAATATTTTGGCTGTTCAGACTGGAACAGCTTGCCCTCTTCATCCTCGGGCACCATCCAAGAGCTTTGGCCTCTTCTTCAACCCATCAACATCTCCAACAGTGGGCCTGAAGGGGCGTTCTGGTTCATAAGTCTCTATACTGTTGAATTCCACTAGCTGTTTTTAGTTTGTTGGTAATTGCTGCTCATTTGCAGAAAGTTGAGCTTAGCTTCATCGCACCATTATTGCTCATGCTGCTGGAAGCCACCAACTCTTATTGAAAACTAATGAGTTCCAGTTGATTTATCGCAGAAAATCGCCCTGTGTGTGAATGCTGTTGGCATTTGACAGACCGCTGAGAGCTTAGCTGTTTAGAGTCTGCATTTAATTCTTGTAGCGACGGCATCCAACCAGGGAATCTGATAAGCAGCAGGTGGCAAAGGGGATCTGAAATGCTATTGATTTTTTTGAAGAATGAGAATTAGCCATAAGGTGTTCTCTAGTGTGTTGTGAGCACTTACGTTTCAAAAGCAGATGTTAAGTCACTGTTAATGTAGAGCTGTGAGACATAAGTATTGATTGTTCAGAAATAAACAAGTAGAACACAAGAGCTTGTTCCTTTTTTAGCTCTGAAGTACCTTAAGTGATGTTTATTAAGGCATATTTTTGCCTTTGTGATGTTAAATGTCATGACCATTTTCAAGTTATGTGACCCTGTCATTGTCCAAAAAAAAAAAAAAGCTTCTGCAGAATAGAATAGCATCTTTATTAACACATGAAAAGGGTTTAAATGGTTTAAGTATAACTTTTCTATATAACACATGACAATTACATGTAGATTGTAATTACAGCACTATAAATGCACAATACAGTACACATTATATATACTGGATGGGACGGGACAAAACCGCACAAAATATGTAAAAACAACAAATAATAATAATAATAAAAGGAGAGAGGCTTAAATAAAAAAAAAAATGTGGACAAACGTAAGCCTTAAATTCAACATGCCAACTTATAGACAGGTGAATTGCTATTAAAAATCATTAAATTACTATTAAATATTTAACATTTATATATTTTTTTACATTTTTAATCATTATTAAATATCTAAGATATTTAGTATTTACTAAGTATAAGGTAAAAATAATTAACAAACAAATAAATAAATCGTATTTGATCAAGGTATTGACAGGTTTTTTGATGTTCACATACTGTATTCATATATTCATAATACTAAGATGGTGTATTGATTGCAGGCTTTATTGTGGCCTGTTGGTAAGATGTTGTTGTTCAAGTGTGTTTTTGAAGTCAATAATATGTGTGAATGTTTTTCCCCTAACAATGTGTTCCAGTTTTTTTTTTACTTGTTAGCTTGTATGTGTATTTATACCACACACACACACACACACACACACACACAGACATTAGCTTTCAGAACAGAATGGCTCAGCAGAATCGAACAACGAGGTGTTGACTGACTCCACACACACACACACACACACACACACACACACACACACACAGACATTAGCTTTCAGAACAGAATGGCTCTGCAGAATCGAACAAGGAGGTGTTGACTGACTCCACACTTCCTTGATTTGTCTGAGGAAGATCATGTCTGAAATGCCTTCTAGATGAGATAGTCTAGAACAACAGGTACAGGTGCCTAAGAATCATAAGTAGTCTGTTATGGCAGTTTATTGACTGTTGATGGAGACAGGGAGGTTGAGGTCAAAAAGGCCATTCATAGCGTATTGTTAGCACATCAGGTGATTGCTTTATCCACTTCTAGCTGATATTGTGCTGTATTTTCAGAAATTGTGCTGTAGAGTTGGATATGACTGAAATCTTATATCACAGTATGGCGTTGCATTGCACCGCGTAAACATAAAACCATGTCTGCATTTGTGATCGGAGAAATGACAAACAACAAGTCCTACTCTACACTGCCCAAAAAACTCACATTAAATATAGAAAATATATAAACGCTTTAAATATAAAAAACTTACTTGCAGTCAGAACAGCCGGCATTGTAGTCTACTCTCCCAGGATCAAAAAACAGTCCTCCATAAAATGTGCTGCACACATCTGAATATTTGGGTTGAAGTGTTCTTGAACAGTGTTGTAAATACAACTTAACCACTGATTTCTAGTCGTGTCCATTTTTGGAAGACCAAACAAAGTAGTTTCGCTTTCACAACGAAGCACAGCGTCACACACGGCGGCCTAGAGTGAGCAGAGGCCGGGGGCTAGAGTTAGCGGCGGCCGGCTAGAGTGAGCGGAGGCCAGTAGGCTAAAGAACGGCGCGGTGGGTGTGCTTGCGTTTACTTGAGTATATTTTTTCAGTACTCTTTCCACCACTGAGTATGAGTGATTTTATGTCACAGTATCCATGTATGCAATGCGGTTCAAAGGTTTGCAGTCAATACTTTTGAAAAGTATCATCAAGCCTAACATTTGATAAAAAATACAATGAAAACAGTAATATTGTGTAAGATTATTGCAATTTGAAATTACATTTTAAAATATATATTTTAAAATGTAATTTATTCCAGCCACAGTGATGGCAACGTTTTATTTTCAGCAGCCATGCTGAAAATTTTCTCCAGTCTTCAGTGTGAGATGATCCTTAAGAAATCATTCTAATATGCTGATTTGGTGCACAACAAACATTTATTATTATTACCAATGCTCAAAACAGTTGTGCTGCTTAATATTTTTGTGGACAAATGACATTATAAATTACTTTATTGGCACTTCTGAACAATTTAATGCATCTTTGCTAAAAAAAAAAAAAATAACATTTTTTCCCAAAAAATAAAAACTACTGACTCCAAACATTTGAACAGTAGTGTGTATATATGTATTTATAATTTAACAGATTTGTTCATTATAAGCCATTATGTTTAGCATCAGTGCAAAAAAAAAGACTTCATGTTATAAAACATTTGAGCTAAAAAAACAGGTGCTATATATTGTTATACCGCCATTCAGCCAGTGTTGCTCTGCTTTGAAGTTAAGCTAGTGTGTTTGTGAACAAGAAAATGTAAAGTGAAAATGAAGTGACATGTCACACTCAGAATTTTTGCTCTGCATTTAACCCATCCAAGTGCACACACACACACACACACACACTGTGAACACATACCTGAAGCAGTGAGCAGCCCGTGCTGCAGTGCCCGGGGAGCAGTTGGGGGTTCTGTGCCTTGCTCAAGGGTCTCACCTCAGTCATGGTATTGAAGGTAGAAGAGAGCGCTGTACATTCACTCCCCCCACCTACAATCCCTGCCGGACCTGAGACTCGAACCCGCAACCTTCTCTCTAACCATTAGGCCATGACTGCCCCCAACATGAAAGGTTCGCCACTCAGTTGACACAAAGTGCCAAGTGAGCACAGAGTTTAAGTGGGGGGAGTACAGAGCCTTATGGCACACCTTTGTTGATGGCCAGAAGGTGGGAGGTGAACTTCATCTCCCTTGTAGAAAATCGAGCAGCTGCCAGCACTTGGCTGGCTCAGTGCCCATATTTCCGTTTAAGAAGGTGGATGATATTGGAAACAGAAGTGAAGTCAAAGAACAGGACGCATGCTTAGGTGTTTAATGTCTCCGGGTGATGTAATGTGCGGTGTGTCGAAGATGCCGGGTCAGTGGCAACCTCCATCAATATACATGAGTGGGCGGCTGTTTTCAAAAAAATTTCAAAGACGATCCTGAGGGTAAATGTGGTTCTTCTGCCAAGGGTTGTTCAATAGGAGGCGTATATAATAATATAAAATATTAACTTATTAAATAATTCAGATGAGGCTTTTGAATGCCAAATAAATTGGTTAACAGTCATTCAGATTTCTCTTGGTTTGTTTTCTTGTGTATTGGGATATACTTGTTTTGTATTTTACCCATAGCGTCTTTATGGTATGATATATTTACTATGGCTGATGCTCAGAGACATTACACATATTCATGTTTTTGTAGGATTTTCAGCTGTGGAACTTGCTTTAATGTGTGAGATACAGCATCTATTCTGTCTATGGTTGCTAATAAGTTTTCCTCTGCTTTGTTTTTGAAGGTATGGGCTGTTTGAGAAGCAGCTCACACTCCTTGAGGAGGCCGAAGGAGGCTTTGATCAGTTCACACGCAGCTATAAGGGTTACGGAGTACAGCGGATGCCAGACAACAGCCTCGTCTTTAAGGAGTGGGCCCCAGCCGCCGAGGCTCTGTTCCTCACTGGAGATTTCAGTACGTCTTTTCTCATTCTAAGGCCCTTTCCCTAAGCCCTAGGCGCTTGCCATCTTCCCGTCGGGTAGTACTGCAGCAATTTTTGTTAGATCTCGAATCCCATTAAAATTAGGCGTTAAGCAAAAATACAATATTAAGTTAACTTCAGCCAAAGCTGAAGTTAAGAAGCTAAAGTTCAGCTAAATGGCTCATTGCCCATTCCACATTTAAATATATTTAGTAAAATTAGAATGTAAAATACAAGTATAATCAATAATGATTATTTTAAATAAATAATAATAATAATAATTATGTTGCTATATGTTTAGAATGCAACACTCACGGTTATATAATATATAAATAGTAAGATTAAATAATTGAATTAATTTTTGATTGATAAATTACAAATATTTAATTTATTATACAAGTAAACGTCTCTGCACATGAATAATGATTATAATGGCTTAAAATAAAGCTATACTGTAATACTCATAAAATGCAACACAATTTTATTTAGAATGTAAGGCAAAATATTTGATTTATTTTCAAATGTATAAAAATGAAACGTAATATGCAAGATATTAATTATTAATTATTATTTTAATGGCTTAAAATATTAAGCCATACAGTACTATACTTAAAATGCAACCGTTGTTATGTAAATAATAAAGCAAAATTATTTTAATTATTATTTTAATTCATTTAGTAACATATAAAATGTATGTGTAATACTTTGTTCATTAATAATGATGATTTTAATGGCTTAAAACATTGATATACTGTACTACACTTTCAATGCAACAGTTTTATGTAAATAATAAGGCCACATTTTGTATATTCAGTAAAATTAAATATAATCTACAATACACAATATTTTAATGGATTACAATATCAAGCTATATGTACTACACTTAAAATGCAACAGTTTTACGTAAACACCAAGGGACAATATTTGACTTATTTTCAGATGCTGTATGTTGAGTACAATTAAAATGTATAAGACTTTAATTTAATGTCGTAAAATAGTAAGACATACTGTACTATGCTTAAAATGCAAGACAGTTTTATGTAAATAATAAGGTAACACATTTGATTTATTTTTTATATTTTGTGTTGTGCAAATAGTGGAGTCTTCTATAAAAGGTGTTGTCAACAACTTTTCAGCTTTTTCACAATTCATAATTCAGAAAGTTTTGTTATTGTACTGATATTTTGTTCCTTTGCAGAATTCATAAATCATACAAGAGTTAGTCTGCCTATTCATCTATATCTTATATCAATTTGTAGTTGACTGTTTGTTCTCTTTGACAGATCATTTTTTCATCTTAAACCAGATGAAAGAACATTGTGTTCAGGTTAAGACAAAACGAAGAATCCCTTCAAGGTTATCTGAATTGCCTACAAGACCAAATGTAGCCAGTCAGTCAGTCATTAAGGGCCTTTCTTTTGAAATCTTTTGTTTGTCAAAAGTCTGGCATAATGATTTCTCACTAAGAAAGTGCATGATTTGAAGGCATTTGCTTGTCTTTTCTAGTCATTAGGAAGTACAAGATTTGTTCTTAAAGAAGTAACGTGTCAGACTTTACAGACTGCAGGCCAAATTCTGTAGTCTTTGATCACATGGCAGAACTTACATTGTTTTTGAATAAACGAATGGTTGTTAGCAATTTTATCAGCGAGAATGCAAATTAGGCAACAGATAGATAAGCATCACTATGACTGATTCTCAGGATTTGAACAAACTGCTAACACTAATTATTAAAATCCGGCATACAGTGCGTGAAAGACATGAATTATAACTCAACTCATGCAGATTGTCAAAGAGTATAAAATTATCCCGTTGAATCTGCAGTAAAAAAAAAAAAAAACGGCAGCTGTGGTCAAAAATTCACAGACATACTGGTACCTGTATATTTTACAACTTAGAAAATGATGTAATGTTAATATATCAAACGTGAATTACCAAATTGCCATACAATGTGATAACCAGCATAATAATACACAGGTTGTAAAATAGAAAACAAAGACAAAACACGATCAGGGTAGCACGATACTACAATAATGCACAAAATAATGATCACAAAGCACTCAATATACATTACGGATAACATACAGTACATATTAAATATAATGAAATAAATAATGTCCTTTGACTCCTTTTACTGTTTTCAATTGTAAATTATATGGTAATCAATGTTATTTATTCACATAAACTAACAGTGTGTTACTATGAAAATAATTATAATGCTCTGTTAAACCAATTTACAGTTTTTCACCTTATGTGCTAAGGGAACTTATAGTTTTCTCTCTCTCTCTCTGTTATGATGCACTTTTTTTATCCCTCTGGTGCACCTTGTGTGGTGGTCAAATACCTTGTGTTTGTGGTATTACATTTTTATGCAATAATTAATACCCACTTTTTGAGCATAAACATGAAAATTTCCAACTTCTATAGCTTTATTATTTTTCTTTATTATTGCTTAGACTGTTTGTTCTCTTTGACAGATCATTTTTTCATCTTAAACCAGATGAAAGAACATTGTGTTCAGGTTAAGACAAAACGAAGAATCCCTTCAAGGTTATCTGAATTGCCTACAAGACCAAATGTAGCCAGTCAGTCAGTCATTAAGGGCCTTTCTTTTGAAATCTTTTGTTTGTCAAAAGTCTGGCATAATGATTTCTCACTAAGAAAGTGCATGATTTGAAGGCATTTGCTTGTCTTTTCTAGTCATTAGGAAGTACAAGATTTGTTCTTAAAGAAGTAACGTGTCAGACTTTACAGACTGCAGGCCAAATTCTGTAGTCTTTGATCACATGGCAGAACTTACATTGTTTTTGAATAAACAAATGGTTGTTAGCAATTTTATCAGCGAGAATGCAAATTAGGCAACAGATAGATAAGCATCGCTATGACTGATTCTCAGGATTTGAACAAACTGCTAACACTAATTATTAAAATCCGGCATACAGTGTGTGAAAGACATGAATTATAACTCAACTCATGCAGATTGTCGAAGAGTATAAAATTATCCCGTTGAATCTGCAGTTAAAAAAAAAAACGGCAGCTGTGGTCAAAAATTCACAGACATACTGGTACCTGTATATTTTACAACTTAGAAAATTATGTAATGTTAATATATCAAACGTGAATTACCAAATTGCCATACAATGTGATAACCAGCATAATAATACACAGGTTGTAAAATAGAAAACAAAGACAAAACACGATCAGGGTAGCACGATACTACAATAATGCACAAAAAAATGATCACAAAGCACTCAATATACATTACGGATAACATACATATTAAATATAATGAAATAAATAATGTCCTTTGACTCCTTTTACTGTTTTCAATTGTAAATGATATGGTAATCAATGTTATTTATTCACATAAACTAACAGTGTGTTACTATGAAAATAATTATAATGCTCTGTTAAACCAATTTACAGTTTTTCACCTTATGTGCTAAGGGAACTTATAGTTTTCTCTCTCTCTCTGTTATGATGCACTTTTTTTATCCCTCTGGTGCACCTTGTGTGGTGGTCAAATACCTTGTGTTTGTGGTATTACATTTTTATGCAATAATTAATACCCACTTTTTGAGCATAAACATGAAAATTTCCAACTTCTATAGCTTTATTATTTTTCTTTATTATAGCTTATTTTTTTTCTTTATTATTAATCTGCCAAGTGTCGTCTTTAAAGGTGGGGTAAGTGATTTCTGATAGCCAATGTTGATATTTCAAATCACCAAAACAAACATGCCCCTAGGGGTCTCGCCCCTATTTTGATAGCTTCGCCCCACATATACATATGCAACCCAGGCAAAGATTATGGCGGAATCTGCTGTATGCTGTATTAAACATATTATCTTACTTTTCAGACACACTTTGGGAGCTGACGCTTGAAACGGTGGAGGAGGTTTAGACGCTCCAGGCTTATAGGGTGTGGAAATGAATGTGTCTTTATCATAGCTGAAGGGAACGACAATACGATTACAGATGAACAAACAAGCGAACATGCCACACGAGCATATTCAAGCAAAAGCCAGCATATATTAGTTCTGTGAAACAAAGCAAAGCCAATGTTACTCACCTATCGAGAAGAAACAAAGCAACCTCGGCGTCCGATCGCAGGCCTTCCCGCTCCTTGAGTTCTCTCCAGTGCTGGAAAGCTGATCCGAAATTTACACGGGTCCTACTTCTTGCCTTATCGTAAGCCTTCTTTTGTTACGCAGACGTTTTCCTCTTGTGTTATTTATCAGCCATCTCTATCTTTCTGTTGTCGCTCGGCTCGGCTAATGTCCATCCTGTGCACTGAGCAATCTCTCGTCCCATCATGAGTAGACACACCCCTTACTGCTGATTGGCTACAAGTTTGTTTTGGGACTCGGCCCGACTCAGTTTTCTAAAGCGTTTTAAATAAAAAATACATACCCCACCTCTAAAAGAGACCAAACATCTGTTTGTTATGAAAAATGTGCAAACACTATTTTCACTTAAAAAAAAAAAATAAAACATATATTTTTTAAAACATGTTTTACTCTAAAACTGTGAAAAAACCCCTGAAATGAATCAAAGCCATAAATAAACAAGTTGTGTTCCAAATTTGAGGTTGATATCTCAAACGGACTCAAGAGCACCATCTATATTGTTCATTTAATTTGTAGCTTAATTAGTATGCTGTGTTTTAGTTATTAGACATGTTTCCACCATAAAACCTCTCAACCCTTTCTTTTTGCATTTTGGAAATGCTGTCAAATGATGCTGTTCACTGAAGTCAGAATGAGTTGGAATCAGTCGGCCCCAAGTCTGATGTCTGATTCCATAGGATCATAGTTTCAGTGGTTATTTTCAGATTGGAGGTGCTAGATTTAAATTTATTGGTAATATGAACAGCTAACCAATCAGCAAGTCCGTTTTGAAAACATGTAGTTTTGCACATCCCTATTTCCCTTTCCCTAGCAACCACTCAGAACACCCTATAAAGCACTCATAGCATCTTAACAAACACGTCACACCGTCCTTGCAAGCTTTGCGCAGACAAAAAAAGGTTTATATAATATTATGTATCGAGCAGGGAAAATTTTTAACTGCAATTGCTTTCTTTTAATAGATGGCTGGGATAATTTTTCACATCCCTACAGTAAAAAAGACTTTGGGAAATGGGAGCTGCACATACCCCCAAAAGAGGACAAGACACCTGCTGTCGCTCATAACTCCAAGCTGAAGGTGAGCAGACGCATTAGCTGGTTTGTTTACTTCATTAGCCTGAATGAGGCGCTGAGGTATTATGAAGGCTTTATGCGCTGTCAAGATGGCTTTAATATTCAGCCATTTTATGGATGGCGTGTCAATGTTAAAGATACAGCAACAGCTGTGACTTCCAAGCCATTTGATGCTCTTCAACAGCATATGTTTTTAATAACGCCGCTCCAATTTGGAGCTTCACACCCATGAGGTTTAAAACACTGAGCTTTAATTTTAAACAAATTGAAGCGGGGTCCTGTGGGATCGGTTGGACTGTTCACTCAGTTCAAGAGTGTACATTCAATTAAAGTCAACAAGCTGAATGGACTTTATTTACTTTAACACACATTCTTGATATTATTGTGAACGATTCATCCATGCATGTTATTCTTGCATCGAAACTTGCTCTGCTGCTTTCTGTCATTTACAGGCCACACTGGCAACTTAATTGGGTCATTTTGGGTCTTTTGATTGAAATAACGTATTGGTAAATATTGAAATTACTGTAACATTACCTCACTTTAGGTCGATTTGTCATTGGTAGTTCATATTACAGAAATACTTCACCCAAGAGTGAACATTGTCTTCATTTTCTCACCTTCGAAATCATGAAACTTTGGTTAAAGTTTGAAACACAAATTGAGTTATGTGTAATAAAACCTGAGTTTCTGTCTCTCTGTTGAAAGTCTAGGTAACCAATTTAAATCTGTTCATCTTCATCATAATAAGCAGTAGCATCTTTTCACAAGACTTGGATTTAACCGCTGGATTCATATGGATTCAATTTACACTGCCTTTATAACCTTCGGGATCTTATAAGTTTTGGTTCTCTGGACTTACAATAGAGGGACAGAAACATCTCAGGTTTCAATAAAAATCTCCATTTGTGTTTTGAAGATTAATCAAAGTCTCATGAAGGTGAGTAAATTATGACATAATTTTCATTTTTGGGTGAACTATCTCTTTAACTAATGTAATTAATAAATTTTTCCAAATGGGACCTGAAGAACCTTAACCTTAAAGGGATAATTATACACAACCTCCACTTGTTACAAACCTGTATGAATTTCTGTTGAGCACAAAAGAAGATATTTTGACAAATGTTGGTAACCAAACAGTTGACGGTAGCCATTGGCATCCATAGTATGGAAAAAAAATATGGAATTCAGTGGCTACCGTCAACTGTTTGGTTATTAGAATTTTTTTTTAAAAATCTGGTTTAAAACACATGTGCCAAGTTCTTAGAAATGTACACTTTGTTGTTTTCATATGATTTTTAAAAACCTTTATACCATTTTCAAGAATACTTTACACTTACTTACTCTAGAAATGACATATGGCTTAACCATCAAGTGAAATTTACATATTTTCCTTGAATGTCCTTGAGTGTACTTCATAATCATTTTCAAAAATGTTTTTAAATATAATTTCAAAGGTAAGTTTTTTTTTTTTTTTTTTTTTAGCTAATATATACATTTTTGTAAATATTTTGTTATATCTTTTCATGTGAACACACTGAAGAAATGACACTTTGCTACAATGTAAAGTAGTGCGTGTACAGCGTGTATAACAGTGTAAATTTGCTGTCCCCTCAAAATAACTCAACACACAGCCATTACTATCTAAACCACTGGCCACAAACGTGAGTACACCCCTAAATGAAAATGTCCAAATTGGGCCCAAAGTGTCAATATTTTGTGTGGCCACCATTATTTTCCAGCACTGCCTTAACCCTTTTGGGCATGGAGTTCACCAGAGCTTCATAGGTTGCCACTGGAGTCCTCTTCCACTCCTCCATGATGACATCACGGAGCTGGTGGATGTTAGAGACCTTGCGCTCCTCCACCTTCCGTTTGAGGAAGCCCCACAGATGCTCAATAGGGTTTAGGTCTGGAGACATGCTTGGCCAATTCATCACCTTTACCCTCAGCTTCTTTAGCAAGGCAGTGGTTGTCTTGGAGGTGTGTTTGGGGTCGTTATCATGTTGGAATACTGCCCTGCGGCCCAGTCTCCGAAGGGAGGGGATCGTGCTCTGCTTCAGTATGTCACAGTACATGTTGGCATTCATGGTTCCCTCAATGAACTGTAGCTCCCCAGTGCCGGCAGCACTCATGCAGCCCCAGACCATGACACTCCCACCAACATTCTTGACTGTAGGCAAGACACACTTGTCTCTGTACTCCTCACCTGGTTGCTGCCACACACGCTTGACACCATCTGAACCAAATAAGTTTATCTTGGTCTCATCAGACCACAGGACATGGTTCCAGTAATCCATGTCCTTAGTCTGCTTGTCTTCAACAAGCAGACTAAGGACTTGTCTGTTCAACAAGCAGACTAAGCCGGCATTCTTGTCTGCTGGCTTTTTTTCATCATCTTTAGAAGAGGCTTCCTTCTGGGACGACAGCCATGCAGACCAATTTGATGCAGTGTGCGGCGTATGGTCTGAGCACTGACTGGCTGACCCCTCTACCCTTCAACCTCTGCAGCAATGCTAGCAGCACTCATACGTCTATTTCCCAAACACAACCTCTGGATATGACGCTAAGCACGTGCACTCAACTTCTTTGGTCGACCATGGCGAGGCCTGTTCTGAGTGGAACCTGTCCTGTTAAACCGCTGTATGGTCTTGGCCAGCGTGCTGCAGCTCAGTTTCAGGGTCTTGGCAATCTTCTTATAGCCTACGCCATCTTTATGTAGAGCAACAATTCTTTTTTTCAGATCCTCAGAGAGTTCTTTGCCATGAGGTGCCATGTTGAACTTCCAGTGACCAGTATGAGAGAGTGAGAGCGATAACACCAAATTTAACACACCTGCTCCCCATTCACACCTGAGACCTTGTAACACTAATGAGTCACATGACACCGGGAAGAGAAAATGGCTAATCGGGCCAAATTTGGACATTTTCACTTAGGAGTGTACTCACTTTTGTGGCCAGCGGT